GAATATTCATGTCTCGCAGCTCTTCACTTGGTCTAGCAGCCTGCCCGTGCGTTCAGGGCCACCATCGCAGCATCTCACAGACTGCAGAGCTGTTGCACTTGCTGCCTTATGATGGAAGATCAGTCTGTTGACGTTTAAATCTTCAGCTGCTCCCAAGCTGCTGCTCAGCAGCGTTGGGTAACATGAGATTACAGGCAGTGTGTTCAGTCGGTTCAAACATTCAGTAAGGCCACAGGATAGTCTGGGCCTCTGCTCTCCTTCCACCTAACGCCGCCAGCACCAGCTGATAGCCTTCCTCTCCTGCCTGTCAGTGCTTTTCCTGTGCCCCCTGCCTGGGGACATCCTGGGTTTATTAGTGCCGATGGGGCTGCCCAGGTTCCTCACCGGTCTCCGCCTGATCACACTCACTCACTTCACGTACCGCATGGGAGAGTGCAGTTTTGCTTGGAAAGCAATTGGAACAAGACATAACTGTCGCCAGGGCTGTGCTTCACAGCTCATGGTGTCGTGGCTTAACCTTATCTGGCAGTGAAGTACCACACAGTTGCTCGCTCACCTCCCACTGCAGGAGAAGAGTCATAGGAAAAAATAAGGAAAGCTCATAAAGTTAAGTACTATTTAAATAATATAAATTACAATTAAAGTGATACTCATACTAACAATACTACTACTACTAAGTAATTAAAATAATAGAAAATAGACCATATTATATGATTGCTCACCACCCGCCAACTGACAAACAACCAGGTCCCGAGCAGCCAGATGTCCCAGCCTGAGAGCTGGGAGGAGAAACAGCCGACCCTGCCAATCCACTAGCAGAGGAACCCGCCCCACCACTGGGCACCACGCCAAGAGCTAACAAAGGCGCTAACGTACCAGCTATCAAGCTACCCAAAGTCTTAACGATTCCCCCCCCATCCTCCCCAGGCCACTTCCCGCCCCAGAACCGCACTGCGCCTGACATACCGCGGAATGAAGCACTCGGTGCTCCGGACCAGCTGGCAGCGCTGTGAAGAAAAGCAGCTCGTTCCAGCCTGAAACCAGCACACGTGGCAAGTCAATCAACCCGCATCTGCGGGTGGGAAAAGCCGCAGGGGTTCACTGAAGGGCAGGACACAAGTGAGGGCGATCGGATGCGGTTTGCCCCGCAGTTGCTGTCCCAGGCCCCTGGCCTGGCAGCCCGCCGGTGGCAGAGAACGCAGGTGAAGTGCAGCCAGGCACAGGTGGGCACGTCGGGGTGTGCCCATCTCCAAGGCGAAGGTGTGTAAGGAGCTAGAGGAAGAACTGCAGCTGGCTGGGTACTCGTCACAGCGCAAGCTCTTGCAGGGAGAAGTACAGAGCTGAAAGTTGGAGGCTGCTTTTGTAGAGACATAGTGACACACGAGTTGAATCAGGAGACTCTGCCCTTGCTGTTAGGAGCAGAAACCGCAGCCGGTGCAGTGGTGACCTTATGGGGGGGTACAACGTCTGTGGGTGGCATGAGGACACTCAGGATCCCCCAGTGCTGCTGGAGGAGGGAGAGGAGGACAAGAGGGAGGGTCATGGCAGCCCCTTCCCCATACTGTCCCAAAGGCTGACCAAGCAACAGGAGCTTACAAAGAGTGACAGCGCCTCTTGAGCCCCCAGAGCTGCTGTGGCGAGTATGAGGAGATGCCACCAGGAGGGTCTGCGAGGAGCTGAGGAGGTACCGTAC